TATATATATAGCACTTTATTTAATAAAACAATTTTAATATTAAATCATATTGATCGATAATGTTAATTACTACTATTACTATTTCTGTTATATAATTATTACTGTGAGCACTACTACTGTAATGCGGCAGAAACAAGAAACCTAGGTTTTCTGCCGTCGCCGATGATTAAGAAAACGGAAATCTTTGTTTTTTAATAATAGAAATTTTTCTGTGTTTCGGATTTTACACTGTAACATCACTGTTTATAGAGCACACAGAACGAAAATAAACAAATTTTTTTGATAGTATAATTGGGACCCAAGCTATCGACTAAACCTATTAAGAACTCGATTGATTCAGTCGTTATTAAGATTCCGATTATCTATTCGCAATTGAGCTTGCGTATAGATACACGGACCGCCTCGCTCTTGTTGCGCGTGACTTTTGATTGTAAATCACTTGGCGCGATACACTATCGTGTCTCTTCGCCCATGAACTATATAGCGTTATTCCTTAATGAAAAATAAATCAAAAAGTACTGAACCATTTTTTCTTAGATGCTTAATGAAAGAAGAAAAATTAAATAAATCATCTAATCAGCGCCGTTTTTTAGGCGGGTATACATCCGTCAGCCGCGCATCGAATAGTGTGCATGACTTATATTCAACTCTACATGCGGTTCCCACACAGATATCTAAAAAGCGGCGCTAATAATGTAACATTTATTTAAGAACTTCTCTTTTGTTAAACATCGCAGACAAAAATGGTTCAGGATTTCGTGCCTAATTTTTCATTAAGATATAATATTACATAATAATGTGGACACAAATGATACGCTCTATATGTACACATACGCGCACTCGCACACATACATACGCACAGGTTGTCCTATTTTAATGGAAATAGCTGTATATCTCTTAAATTCGACATAGAAAAAAATGTTTCAAATAAAATTTAAAGAGTTTATAGGGGGAAATAAGTTGATAATCTTAAATTTTAATTATGATCATTTTTCAAGATTATGTGAAGGATAACCTTTTTTTTAATCATTCTAATTTTTTTATATAAATTGATTTGTTGCGATATTCGGCACAAAAAGTTATAAGCGTAGAATAGCCAAAAATTTAATAGTTCACGAGATATTTTATGTTTTAATTTGACATAATTTGATATAAACTATGAAATATCTCGTAATATTGGCTCATACATAAAATAATGAGAGGAATCAATTGGTGCAAAGACAACAGTTGTTTTTAAGAGAAAATATGTAATTTGTAACAAGTAAGTACATATTAATATTTGGGGAGTATTAAATAAAAATAGATTTTATTATAAAATTTTGAAAACATTTCAATATGTATCAACTTTAAGAATATGTAATAAAAAAATGGAGATTTTCATTTTAAAAAAATTTATGTTTTTGACACAATTTTTAAAAGATCACAAAACTAAGATCAGCATCATATGTCACTCTTGAAATCGAGTAGTTTGTTTGAAACATTTTTTCAAAAAAATGCATTTTTTTCAAGATATTTGAACGTTAAAATTAGAATGGAACACCCTGTATAGACACATACACATTTTTTGCGTATGTACAATGTACATGATAAAATTAATAACAAAATTTAATAAATATTTTTATTGTAAGAAGAACGCTTTTTTATATCACTGCTTTTAATTCAACAATTACATTATACTAATTTTTATTAAAAAATAAAAATTAAAAAGAGAGGGTATTCTGGAGAAGCAAGAAACATTTCAATATTTATTTGCGTAAATGCATTTATATATTTGCATCTGTCGTTTTGTTAATGTAATGCAAACATCAGTGGAGATATGGCATGTAATTGTTTTGAGATAATCAATCTATGGTGTGGAGCTTATCCTTTAATCTTAATATGTGGTGGATGCAGGGAGTTCAACAGTCTACTTGCCCAATCTTGCCTGCTGTTGGAAGTTTAGCCAATGAGGTCGCCAAGGCTCGGCAGCATATTAAACAGTCTTTACAGTGTGTGAGTACTGCACTGTCCTTGCTTACTCTTTATGTAATTTTCATAGCTTACTAATTTAATATTTGACATATTATTATAAAAATCCATTTTTCCATTATCTTTCATTGCTTTTTAAACATTTTAGAACATTAAATATAAACAAGGATTTTATATAAAATATTACATAGAATAATTATAGCGGTTAAGATGTCTTACCCAGATAGTCAAATGTGCCAAGACATGTATCGCAAATGTGTCTATTATTATATGTTGGCAAAATTCTGGCAGCAGCCAATAGTTCGCCGTTTTAAATAATGTCAGCAGAAATGCAGCAAAAAAATTAGCAGTCCTTATGTCATGATATGCTATAAAAATTCTGCAAAAATTAAAAGCGGAAGTTTTTGGTATAAAAACAGTAGAATTTAGATATTACATTTTGGCACAATATATAAATAGAAACTAAATGAAAACTAAGCATAACATGACATTACGCTGCAGTAACTGAATATCGTCAGAAATCGAACATATCTGCAAGGACGACATAATGGCAAAAATGCGGCAAAAATTGAGGATGAGCTGTCTTAATAAATAACAGCAAAAACACAGTAGAAACACAGCATGGTTTGTTGTCATAAAATAACAAAACAAGAAGCACAAACACATTGACGTCATGCAAAATATGTATAATAATTCCGAGTTATAGTTCTTTCGTTTACTGCTATATGACGTATCTATTTTGTATTTAAGTTTCTGTCACTGGCAAATATAAAAACTGCAAAGCGCGGCTAAAGATGGAAAATGTGTAATATTTATTTATATTAGCTTAATTTTTCTGATACAATTCTAACAGAAGTATCAGAATCTTAAATTGATTGTTAAAATATTATTTTATTTTATTAATTATTTATATTATATAAAATATAATTACGATATTA